TTTTTTTTTTTTTTTTTTTTTTTTTTTTTTTGCTATTATTTTCTTATAAACAAACAATTAAATTCAGATTACTGTTTCTTTTAGGCATTAGAGTGCAAAAAATACGCAAAAATAACACAGAAACTTGAACCTATCTAAATAAATTATCACAATCAGTTGCTGGAACAGAAATCCACTAATTTTGATGCTACAAAAAATCATTCATACGCTTTTGCTCTGATGATTTTATAATCCACAGCAAACTTTACAATTTTAATTTTAAATAATTTTTGAGCACGGTGGTAAGAAATATGTGAATTGAGAATCTCAGATAAAAAACCGTGCTACATTCAAGTGTTGAAAATTAACGATACCAAGTAGCATATAATTCAAAAAGTAGGGCTAGGCTGTCCTCTGCAACAAAAAAGCAAAAAACCTCCACCGTAAACTACAATGAGAGCCAAAAAAATGTAGAATACAGAATTTAAAAAAATAGCAACAATTATTGAAAAAAAGTTCTGTCTGCTCTCTTCAAAGAATTGTAAAGCAGATTGATAAGAGCTGAAACTATGGTAGTCTAAGACTTATTGCTTTACGGATCTATAATGAGAAATTGGTAGCATAAAACACTCAAGAATAGGTTGCCGTCAGCAAATTTAAGATCTAGACACTGACTTGAAAATTCTGACAGAAATTATATTACGAAGCAAATACTGTATCAAATACAACAGTTTGAGAACTGTATTGAGTAATCTGTAGATTACTGCTAAGCTTTTCTGAACGATAAATAATCTTTCCTAAAAAAGAAACTAAATTTGAGTTTCTTTCTTTTTTTGTTACTAATCATAAAAATAATACGATAAACTGTATAGATGAAAAAGACAACTCAAAAAACATTTGGCAAAAAAATTTCTGCTTGTTTTTGCTAATAATTTAACGCCTTCTTACAGCGTTGAAGAACTAAGAATGAATGTTCTTTGGTTACATTGGTATTAACATTTGTACTGCATTGTAAATTTCTAAAATAAATAGCAAATCTTCCTCCATATTTGGTTGGCAAAAAAGCTGTTAATGTATTAAAACACAGATATTCTACAAGATAATTTAGATTGGTTCTTTATCTCAGTTTTAGTTATGGCCTGGCAAATTCAGAACTGGTAAATAATGTTTGACAGTAGTAAACATTGAGCTATAGTAAATAAAATTCGAAAAAAAAAAAGACCGTTGAAATTTAACAAAAGTAAACATTTATTTAAAGAATTCCTAGCAACTGAGTTAAAAAAATTTTTCATTTTTACTTATGTTTCTACAAGTGATTGCTGTAGCGAACCGTAAAGAGTCAAGATGAAGCAGCAGCTTTAAAAACAACTTGAATCACTATCTGATATAACTTAAGCGAGGAACAATATTACCAGTAAAGTCTATCGTTATAGTTCTGTAACCAAACAACCCTGTGTAAGTCAAAATAAGCAAAATCTTATTACCTGTATAACAAAAAAAAAAAAACTAAGTGAAAAATTTATAGCTGTTTTTTTTTTAAAGCGTAATTTTAAAAACTTCTGCTTTTCTAGACCATTATGCTTACTGGAGATGCTGTGCATTTGAAAAATTGGAGACAATCTTTTTGTCTCAATTATTGCACCATAAATCCGTTTTAAAGCCGTTATCAGAACAGCTCACACAATTCTTGGATTTGATTTCTGACGACAAAACTAAGCAGTTAGCATTCTGAGCCTTATCAGTTTACGGTACTGCTCAAGTGAAAAATTTGCTTGACTGTTTCGTATCAACCATAGAACTTAATCAAGCCGAATTGATACGGTAGTCCAAAAACAAATAAATGCTGGAAGATGTCGGCTTTTTTCTTTTCAAAGATAAGATTTATTGGTGAAACAATTATAATCATAAATGTTTTTTGGTAAGACATTATAAAAAAATTGAAAATATTTTTTTACAAAAAAGTTTGATCTTTTTTGAACAAACTAATTGTCTCAGTTAGTTTGTTTTCAAAAACAAAAAAAAAAAAAAAACTTCGTTTGACATCCTAACCAATCATTGGTTCCAAAAATTTGTTGCCTACAACACAAAAAAAACGAAGAAAAAAAAAAAAGAAAAACGAGGAGTGAAAAATAAATAAGTACATAACAAAACAAAAAAAAAAAAAAAAAAA